TGCTGTGACTCTTTTCTTTTCCGTTTAGTGGACAGGAGAAAAACTTGGTGTCTTTAATAAGATCATATATGAATTATTTTGAGTTATTTTCTCTTTCTTTCTGTCTGGCAGGCGTCAAGGGATTTTCAAGGAAACAACAGACCAGCTGTATAATGCAGCCACTCAGGAGCGGGAAACTACTTTGAATCAGCTACTAATAGAGCTTGATGGATTTGATACTGGGAAAGGTGTTATATTCTTAGCTGCTACAAATCGTCGAGACTTGTTAGATCCTGCTCTTCTCAGACCAGGTCGTTTTGACCGCAAGGTTAACTTCCATCACTTGAATAGCAAGTGTAATTAATTACACATCTTATCAATAGAAAAATATATTCAAGGAAAATACTAAGTTGTTCTGGTATTTACTTTAAAGGACTCGTCGAAGTGTGACATTTTATTTGTTGCTCAAGTATGTATTTTTCTCAGGGTGATATCCTGCCTCATAGTTGCATATACTCTTTTGCATCTATGCTGTGCTCTCTGTTGGTTGGATCCATCATACATGAAGTGTCTTCCGGAAGACTATCTTTGTTGTTTTTATTTTCTGAATTGCTTTGTGATATATCACTACTTGTTCACCTTTTACCTGTTGTGATTTTTATGTAGATAAGAATTCGTCCTCCAAATGCTAAAGGGCGATTGCAAATTTTGAAAATTCATGCAAGCAAAGTGAAGATCTCAGAGTCTGTCGATTTGTCTTCTTATGCAAATAATTTGCCTGGTATGCATTCAACTCGAGGATTTTTCTTGATTTCTAATTCGATAACTGGAATAGTTCATTTCTTAATAAAAACAGATGGAAACAAGGTTGTCTCAACTAGTTGGTTTATCATTTAACAGTGAAAATAATGTATTGTCTTAATAGGATGGACTGGAGCAAAATTGGCTCAACTAGTCCAAGAGGCTGCTCTTGTAGCTGTCAGGAAAAGACATGAATCAATTCTTCAGTCAGATATGGATGATGCAGTGGACCGACTAACTGTGGGACCTAAGCGAGTTGGTATTGATTTGGGTCATCAGGGACAGTGTCGTAGAGCAACCACTGAAGTCGGAGTTGCTATAACTTCTCATCTACTTAGGCGATATGAAAATGCTGAAGTTGAATGTTGCGATCGCATCTCAATTGTTCCTCGTGGTCAGGTGCTAGTGGTTTCCTTATGTTTCCATATTTTCTTTTTACTGTTTTCTTCTTTGAGGAAGTTAGTCTCGATGCTTGGCTGTCGTGCATACTTATAATATCACCTAAAGTTGGATAAAACAAAAGCACACCATTGCTTGACAGTTGACAGAGTCTCAGGGACATAACTCGGGTCCATACTGCCAAATCTGTGGCAATGTTTCAATGATAATTGACATTTATTGTAGACAATAGACTGAGAGTCGAGTGATTTATGCAGACACTATCGCAAGTTGTGTTTCATCGGCTTGATGATGAATCATACATGTTTGAACGCCGACCACAGCTGTTGCATCGCCTTCAGGTGTGGGTTCTTGTTAGCAGTTACAATTAGACTTTATGAGCTCTTATGTTTGTCAATATTCGTAATGCGAGCCATTGTTTATGTGAAGGTTTTTCTTGGGGGAAGAGCTGCAGAAGAGGTCATTTATGGGCGGGACACCTCAAGGGCATCACTTAACTACCTTGCAGATGCATCTTGGCTAGCTCGCAAAATTATAACCATGTTAGTTGTCGTAAAAACTGCTGCATGCTTTGTATCCCCCCCCCCCCCCCCCCGAGGGAAAGGGTGTTAATAACAGGTCTTTTATGTCTTGCATCAGATGGAACTTGGAGAATCCAATGGTCATACATGGAGAACCACCGCCTTGGAGGAAGAAAGTTAAATTTGTAGGCCCACGTCTAGACTTTGAAGGATCTCTTTACGACGACTACGACCTGATCGAACCCCCTGTCAACTTCAATATGGATGATGAAATCGCAAAGAGGAGTGAGGAACTGCTGCGAGATATGTATGGAAGGACGGTTTCTCTTCTTAGGAGTCACCATGCAGCTTTGTTCAAAGCAGTGAAGGTAATTTGATTTGCAATGTTAACTGCATTCGAAACGAAGGAGCTGGTATCTCAAGTAATAAAGAAGTTTCAGACTTGATAAGAAACAAGTGTACCCTTGAACCCCAGGAAAGATGAAAGTTTCATTTTGCTTTTTTCAGGTTCTTCTGAATAAAAGGAGATCAATGGAGAGGAAATTGACTTCATTTTGAACTTGTACCCTCCTCAAACTCCATTGAATCTTGTCTTGGAAGAGGAAAACTCCGGCCATCTCCCTTTTATCAAACAGGAACAGGAACAGGAACAAGAGCAGGTACTGCTAACTCATTCAACACCGGAAACAGTTTGAACATGGCATTGTCGTTTTCGTGAATTGTATGTTTAATAACCATTATTTTTCTCACTTCATATTCGTTGATTTCTGATATATTTAGTACTTTTCAACGTAATCAATCCAAAGATCAAGTATTATTATTATTTTGCATCATAACAAACCTAAAGCATCTACATCCATAGAACAGTGCACGTTATTGTAGTGTTAGTGTTTCAAAATTCTGGGTGTTGGGATTAATAAAAAAAAGAAAGATCTAAACCCCTTTGGGAACAGAGCTGCAAAGGCTTCAAGTCCTGTTGGATTAGGGTATTTTCATATCCTATTTTAATTCCTTTATTTATTTTTATTTATTCAATCAAGCCTCCTTTAAGCCTATCGTATAGGAGTTTAACTAATGTCCGCTATATACATATATATTCCAAAGGTGAAGTGTAAGTTTTTTTTTTTTTTTTTTTTGCGTTTAAAAACTGATTAACTGGGAAAACAATATCAAAGGATACCACGTATAAAAGTTTTAGGCATAATGTCAAAATTAGTCTCCCAGATTGATCAAAATGGTAATTTAGGCCTTATTCTTTCTGAATCATTTTAACCCACAACATTTTATTTTTAGGATAAAAAAGTACACAATATTTGACCAAATAGTCATTTTAGCCTTTATTTCTTTTCTTCTTAAGCATTTTGGTCCTCAATATTTTATTTTAGGGTTAAAAAATCATATTTTGTAGTATTAATTGTTTGTTAACTAACAATTTTATCTACATAGGGTTCTTTTTACTCTAAAATGAAACATTCGAATTAAAATATTCTAAAAAAGAATAGAGACTAAGTGATTATTTATTCAAATGTTAAGGACTCTTACATTACGACAAACTTTAATTGTGAGCAGATGTCAATGCATTAAATTAGTATATATAATTTAATCAAGTCCGTTTAATCATTAAGGTTCTATGGTCTAGTAGTCAGGACATTGAATTTTGAATCCAGTAACCTGAGTTCAAATCGGTGTAACCTTAAACAGTTTTTCTTTTGAAACTTTTAGTTGCAGGGCTTAGATTTCATATGGTGAACAGTAAAGTTTCACCAAAGACCACCATTTTTTATGTAAATTCTCAAATCTTTTCTTCTAGCTCCTCTCGTGCAGTAAAAACAGAAGACAACTATCGTTACTACATCAAAGTTTTTTTAATCCAAATGTTACAGGGAGCCTCCAAATTTCCGGGCTGAGAAACGTTGCATGAGTGGTTGATTCCTAACTGATATGGAGTGTTACTGAACTGGGGATTTGTATATAGGGCTGCTGCACCTTGTCTCATCACCATAAATCCCATTTTCACAACATGCAACATCTATATAGGAAAAAGAAAATTCAAAGATTTCTTGGTTTAGTTTGCGCTTAACATGATTTATGCAATGAGAGCAAAAAGAACACACATGGTCCTTGTGGTGAGTTATGATGCAAGCTGTTGAAGACCCTGCAGCTCGAGTCTTTCACCTAGGGATGGACATATGATTTTATGTTAAGGAATGAACTTATAAAATTTTAAAAGACAAAAATAGATTATCAATAGATAAAATGGCTGACATCACCATATGACCTTGATTCTGATCTTTGGCTATATAAAATGATCCATACTTCATCTTCAATTCCCCTCTTCAATACCAACCCTTAAACCACAAAACAGAATATGATGAGACGACGCCGTCGATTACGAGTACTGTTGTAAAAATGTGTTAATATTTCAAAAGAACATAAATAATTTCACATCTTTTGTGAAAATCTTTTGACTTTGATTTAAATACAAATATTAGTTATTCAACTTGTAAGATTAATGTGAGCTTTTATCTCAGCCACCTGCGCCTCTGCTATGGGCATTATCGGTCGGGATCAATCCGGTGCTGTCCTTGCATCCCATGCTGTTCCGTTGTCACCATTGAGCGACTCGTCCTTGGTTAAAGCCGTGGCCATCACACGAGGCCATTCTGCTAGCCTTGGAGTTGGCTGAGATCATCCCGTTAAATTAATGTGACAACTTTAATAAAAAGGTTAGTATTTAGTTTCTCCTAAACTACTAATAAAACATCAAATAGGTGTCCTTAAATAATATTAGTTGCTAACTATTTTGCTGACACTTAATGTTGGTATCAGGCCTAAAACAATGAGAATTATTTGAAGGTTGGTAGACTAAATAGATATGACTGTCAAATAGTAGGTTTAGCTGATCACATAAGCCTGCCAACGGTCAAGTCAAGGGACTATAGGTGGCCGGAAGACCTGGGATTTCGGAAACTTCAAAGTTCAATGGAAAGAAGAATAACAGTGGAAATGTAACTTTCAAAGGAGAATAGGAAGAAGTACAACATTTGTCAATGTGGGCCGATGATATTGTTTGGAAGTGCCAATTCCTTAATAACCCGTTATGTTTCAACCTAAAACATCCATCCCATGCAAAGTAACAGCTAAACAAATACAATATCAAGATTACAATGAGTAGCAATCAATAACAGCTAAACAAGTACAAATACTAGTATTAAATTGAGTGGCAATAAGCAAAGACTGCAAGTACTGTTGTTTTATCAGCAGTTTATTTTGACGAACAATGAAAAGAAAGTAGTATCATCACTTGGAAATAATAGAAGTTGCAGCATAAAGAGCCCCTGCCACAAATGTTGCAATGATGGTAGTTTTGGCTGACATTTTTCCATGGTCACTCCTCAAGGCAATCGCTTCATAAATTGGTAGGCAGTTCAACTCAATGCACCCTGCAAGTAACATCTGTAAAACCAGGCTTTCCCCCACATCTCTGCCTCCACTGAAGATTATAACAGCTCCCCAGATGAAAGAGAACAAGTTGATTATTGCCGCCGTCGTTGGCGGCACGAACAACGGTGACGGGACTCCAAACTCCAACACCCCTTGAGAATATCGTTTGTAGTGCTCATCATCGACCACTTTGCTAGTCACAATGAACCTGTAAGTCGACAAGCCTATCGACTTAAGAAGGCACTCCGCTGTAGCAAAGGCGAAACTCGAAAGGCTCCTAATCATCCACATCCTTTGATTGTACCACCACTTCCAGAAACTTGATCCCTCTATGACATATTCAATGAAATCTTGGCCGTAAGCGCCCAGGAAAAGAAACACGTATAGGAGAAACCATGGTTCAGACATCTGCAAATAGGTTTATGATGATATGACAATATATTAGATGATACATCATATAAATTGATTTATGATATGATAATATAAATAAAATAAAAAATCATCTAACATAATTTATATATCTATTTAACTTAAAAATATAATAACAATTATATATGGAGAGAGATTAAATTTAAGAAAAATATATTAATTGGAGTAATATAAATTTCATAACATAATTCATTCATATTTTTATTTAACGTAAACTACCTATTTGGTCACTCTATTATATTTCATGAATTTCATAAATAATAAGCATACGAGTCACATAAGAACAACAAACCTTAGACAAAGTATCAATAGTTTCATAATTTATCCAAAGGCTCAACCTACCTACTAAAATTTTATGTAGTAGTATTTATAAATCTAAACTTATTTTAGATAACTTTATTTAGAAGTTTGAAAGTGGTAGAAGCATTATTACTAAACATAAGATACTATCTATAATATCACAATCCCACATTATTCAAATAACTAAAATATAATGCTTCCAAATGCTAAAATCACACCACATTAACATTCCAATCACGAGACAACAAAATCAACATGATCCAATCATTTGTTTATTTATCAAATTGGTTAAACTTGTTAAATTAGTCAAACTTGTCAAACTGCATATGTGCTCAAATAATCGGGTATCCTGATAGTCGTGTGTCACTCATGGATGATAATCAAACAAATCTCGAGCATTCGAATTGTTTTCTCAAGCACCACATATGACTGTTAGTCAAATAAAATCTCAGGTGTTCGAATTATTTTCTTGAGTGTTACATATGCTCGCTAGTCAAATAATCTCATTGTTTGATTGTTTTTTCAGCGCCACATGCTAACTCTCTAAAAGAGTTATTATTTTTAGTCTTTTAATTAGGGTAAGCTTGTACTTTAGCATGTTTAGAATCATATTTAGATTTATTTTAATATATTTTACATCATTTGCATATTGGGAGAGAATTGTTGGTACTTGAGCTTATTTTAATGTTTTTGTTGCAAATTGCTATATTGATGACGTGACGTTGTTAATGTTGTAATTGTTGTTGTGCACTGATGCTGGACTGGATTGCCGAGTCGATTTTGCAATAGTTGTCGAGTCACGAGGCAGTTAGAAAAATTTTAAAAATTGATAGCTGCTATAGGAAAATGGTTGGAATTTAAATTTAAACACTTCATTCATCCTTGGAAACTATAATTTTCCATAGACTATTTTCATTTTTCTATTTTATCGCCGACCATGTTCGCCTAAACTCACCGTCGGGGAGTGCAGCAGCAGCTGGGAAGCAATGCAATGTAACAAGGATGGCCGATCGGGATTCAATCGTGTTTTGTAGTTCTTTACTTGAGGATGGAAGATACTATTTGATAAGATTGGATGTTTGAATAACAATTTCTTGAAAACATCATTCAAACTGTCTCAGTCTCTCGATCATATATTCAGTGACCATTTCTCCTAAATCGACGCCATCTTTTGTAAATCTATTGAAAACAATATGGTTTTCTCACATCAAAAACTCTCAAACTGTCATTGTGGACCATCAAATGGAGTCATCTCTATAGTGTCACGGACCGCGAGCCTATGACCAAGCCTAATTCATTCAAGGCTGCCAAAGACTATCTTTTCCACGTTTTGGGCCTTCTAGAAGACTTTACAGAAGACTTTCCAAAAGACCTAGGAGAGCTAGCCCATCCACCTTGGAGAATGCGATAAGGCATGATAATTATAAAAATTTATCTTGTAGATAAATCCCATAATTATCACTTGTTTTTAGTTTATAGTTAAAGTAGGGCTCTCATATTGGCCATTAATGTAATCTAATCGTAGTAGTTGATTGTAGGGGGACTCCAACTGTAACATCCTCAATGCTCTCATATTGGCCATTAATGTAATCTAATCTTAGTAGTTGATTGTAGGGGGACTCCAACTGTAACATCCTCAATACCGGGTTAGTAACTATATTGTAAAGTTTCAGAATCTGGTGATTAAAGTAGAATAGTTGAATAGTTCAATGATTTATTTGAAAATATTTCCTGAAAGTTGTTAGTAATTATCAAAGGAATTAAAGGGCAAAATGGTCATTTGACAAGAAAGATATTTTCCCCTTTATATGAATGAATCACGTGGGGGAAGAGAGTTATCTTCTTCTTCTCCATCGTGAAGCATCCTCAAGCAAAGGTGAGTTTTCTGGTTAATTGATTATTTGTTGATTTTAAGAGTGGCTTTTGATCCTTAGGTGATACTTAAGCTTAAGGAAAGCTTAAGTTGTCTTAAAATCAAAAGATTAAGAAGTTATGAAAGATTAAAGAGAATGAGTTTTTAAGTGAATTTCTGGAAAAGAGTTGATAAGTTGAATTTGAAACTAAATTTGACTTGTCATCAACGCAATTAAGGAATATGGAGTATTAGAATTGGATTTAAAACATGTTAAAAATTGGGTATGATTCTTGAAGCTCATAAAGAGGAGAGGATATTAAGGTTAAAGATGAGATAAATGGATATAAAAGAGTTTAAGCATGTATATGTAAGTTAAGAACATGAAAGGGGAGGAAACATTAAGTGTTTAAGCTGAAAAGAGTGAATTTTCGTACTTAAAATGTGATTTTTGTGCAAAGAGTATCGGTACCCATTCAATAGGTACCGATACCCTCTTGAACGAAAATTCACAGAATGTAATAAGGGTATCGATACCTTAGGGAGGGTATCGATACCTTAGGGAAGGTATCGATACCCCCTAAAGGAAAAAGTGAATATGGGTTTATTAAATTTGTTTAAGTTATTAGCATCAAATTATAAGGTGTAGATATGAGATAATTACCTTAAAAATGTATGATTGTGTAGACATCGAGCACAAGCAAGTTCTAAAACGACTGCAAAGCTAGGATCAATCCAAATAGATAAATCATAGAAGAGGATTTGGATATATAAAGTGTCAAGGTGAGTGCATACTAATTGTAAATGATGTGTATGGAAATAAGACTCGTGATGAGTCTAATTTCAATATTTGATTTCATAAATATATGAATGTTAGTATATGTGATTGACATGACTATTATGTATGCATGAACACATAGATAGATTCATAGAGGTTATATGTTATTTGGTGTGATATGGATATATAAATAGTTATATGATAACAATGTATAAATTATATGAATTAAGTCTAAGTGATTAAATGAAAAAGGAAAATATAATATAAGTTAAGAGATATTGACATAAATTAGTATACAAATGTTTCAAATAAGATATATAGGAAAGTTGATATGTTTAAGTGGATTATGATCTAAACTTGTTAGATGTTATGTGATTATGAGACTTTACCAACATATTATATGATATACTGGATAAGAAACTAGGAGTTTATGTTATATGAGATGAACATAAGAGGTTATGTGAAATGAACTATGTGACTATATGAACATATGAAAATATGACTAAGAGTAATGTGATATGAGAGATATGATAATGAAATATGAAATTATAATACAAGTTACGTGTATTGATATAAGTGATTATGCAAAGCTGTGATATAAGTTATGTGATGAGGAGTTATATGTTATAATATTTATATGAAGATATGAGAATAAGATATCAGCTATGTGATATGATCTATGTGACCATATGAGAATGTGATATGATATACATGAATATGCAATATGTATTATGTGTTATATGAAATGACATAGATGTTTACACATACATGTGGTATGTGACAAAAGAAAAGATATATGTGATCACAAGAGAAATGATATGAGTACATGAACATATGAAACATAAGAATAATGCTCATGGTATATGATACGCGAGCTATAGGTATAGTTGGCATGCAAAGAGTCGAGGGTCTACGCGGTCATTCGGGAAATATACAGAGGTCCTACGGGACAAATACATAGGTCATTCGGAACAAATTTCACATGCCCCTAGTGGGACCCCATACAAGCTGTGGTGGCAACATAAGTGCACAACCTCAATGTACTCAAATACCTTAAGTTCTCGGTAATGTACATGGGCTTATAACATGTATTAAAAGTGTTGTTATTGTTATATGTTATCATGTTATTACTCTTTACAATGAAGTACATGTGACATGATTGAATGATTTGATTATATGTTCATATTTATAGGAAATGCATTATTATATTTTATATGCCTCACTAAGTCAACGACTTAGCGTGTGATTGTTTCACACGTAGGTTCCGAGAAGAGGAAGATTTATAAAAGTTATGCAAGACATGTCAGTTTCTCCTTTCCAAAGATCAGATCAGAAAAGAGATGAATAGTTTGTATTTTGTAATACTGATTATGGTTGGCATGTAAATAAAGGTTTGAATCCGATATGTTCTAATCGGTTTTGTAAAATCATATGATCGAGTTTTGTAATGTTTTAAAACGTATATATGTAAATGGTAATCTCTATGGTGATGAAAGTTTAATTTTTATGAGTTTTATATAAGTGGACCGAAATTACTATAATAAGGGTATCAGTACACTGTAACAGGATACCGATACCCCTATAGCATTCTGGAAAATTTTAGCATTTGGTACTGTTCACTACTATTCATGGTACTATTCATTACTGTTCACAGTACTGTTCATACTGTATAGTACTATTAATAAAAACGTTTCTTTCTTTAAATTTATTATAACGAATATAATTCAACGATATATTATCATATTTTCTTAATACAAGTCCAAATATTCTGTTATTTTGTAAGAATATGGTTTTGAAACGTCAATGTGACACTTCAGATTCGTATCCGGGTCAGTACGAGTTAGGGTGTTATATTTAATGGTATCAGAGCTACGGTTTAACCAATTCTAGGCTTAAAACGAAGTCAAAAGTGTTTTAAAAAGTATACATGCCAACACAAAGTGAAAAATTTTCTGATCTGATAGTGTAAGGAGTGTATTGTCTTGTAAATAGAGTTAAATTGTTATGTTATATTAGAGGTATGATCATGAGAGCTTCCAAAGTGAAGCA